CTCTTTCTCTCTAGTAACAAATTCTCAGCAGTAGCAGTACTTTCACTGCAGTTGGAACTTCTTCTCTCTCCCTCTCGCTCTGTGTTGGTTTCCAAGGCTGGGCTTACCTCCCTTCTGGGCTAAGACCGAAGGCTGGGGGTTACCCAGTCTTGAAGGGTCTTCCTTCCATAGGCTTGCAAGGAGACACTTGCTTACTATGGATCTTCTTCCACAGGGTTACAGGGGATAATGGCTTAAGAGTTCACCCCTGTTTCCCTATGGAGGTCCCTCCCCATGGGAGAACAGTCCTTGATAGACTTCTCGGCATGGGTCTAGCACGGATCCACACACACACGGATCCCAACATCTCACATGAGCCGTCTTGCTCCAGCATGAGATTTTTCAGAGTCACAAAATCTTCAACAGCAGTACGGATCCACACACACACGGATCCCAATATCTCACCTGAGTCGTCACTGCTCCAGCACAGGTTTCCCTCGAGGTCACAGATCTCCACCAGGACTCTGCCTTACTTCAGTTCTTCTCATGAAGTTTCGGTTCTCTTTGGTGCATCCACAGACTCCTCTATCAGCTGCATGGGCAGTCTCCTTACTCCAACAAACTTTTACAAGTAGCAGGGATTACTTTTTAGTCTTTTCCCTGCTGAAGAGAGAGAGCGGAAAGGTGGGGGGGAACAAGCTCCCCCTTTCGCACTTTACTTTTCTTGCTGCAACTTCAGCTGCCAGCTTCGACTTTGTAAGCTCCGTTATCTTTCGACTGGAATTCTTTCACAGCGGTTTCTGTCCAAGCAGTTAGAAACTTTTTTTTCTTCACTCTCTTACAAGAAAGAAGGAAGGACTTTAGTGCTGCACCTGCTCCCCCCACCCCGGCCCAAGCCAGGGGAGGAGGGAGTTTGGCTCTGCTCGGGCCCGCTACTCTTCTTTCCTACATGGCTGCCGCTACCAATTCTAACTGCGCCAACAACCTTCTCTTCCGTTTTCTTGAAGATGTAATTAGCAAAGGCGTTACTGGACTTTTGATTGGCTTTTTTGTCCGGAAATCACCTGGACAAAACCATCCTCAGCCCCAGGGATGGGCTGATGGGCAAAACCACGACACCCCCAAAAAGGGGAAATTTGTATTTTTCTGTGCCAGATCTTTGTCTTATGCACATCTCTTGCCAAGGAAAGAGTATAGCAGGGGGTGTCAGGGAAAAGCCACGGTGGGAAATCACCGGCCAGTGATGTGCTACAAGGCACATTGACCATCCCAAGCCCAGACTTCAGACTCCCAGTCAGTACTGGTCATGCTGTGCAAAGGGCTGGCTCTCCAACCCAGCAGCAAGAGCTGACCCTCCTGATCCAACGATCTGATAGACTAGAAGTATCATCTCCCATGCCTTCATCCAAGAAGACAACTAGAATAAAAATTACACTGATCCATTAGGGCCACTCATTATACTACCTGAAATGGCAGCAAAAGCCAATGAGTTCTCTGAAAAATGCTCAAGATACACTGCTTGAGTGTCACTGCTTTACACAGAAAAGTCTTCTGAATGTGCTTTTCCTCAAGTTGGACCTGTATTCTCATCTCTTTCTATTGAGAAATCATCCTTTGGCAAAGACAGTTGGAGAGTCTCCCAGTCTGTCTTTAACTTCATTCATCTTTCATTCCTCACTGGAACTCCAAAAGTTTACTTTTTATGAAAGGAAAAATTGGATCTTTTCTCTCTTCTGACAGTTGCAGATCCTGTAATAATACACATCCAACTGCCCCTCTCTTAATCTGGGTCAGCTGCTGGGAGACCTCTGGAACTCAGAGATCCTCCCTCATAATTTTTCCTGTTGTTCCATCAGATGAAAAAAAATTGAATTGGACACTGAAGTTCAGATTCTGTAGGTCAGGTTTGAATTAATTGCCTCAGGGGTCATATTTTACAAATGAAACAAGAATACATACCTTAAGTGATGAGTCATATGCATTGTGCAATGGATTATTATTCCCTTTGGGGTATAGCATTTATTTATGCTTGTGAAATGTAGCATAATTTTTATCTTTTCTTCCTTACAGTCTTCAGATGTAGATTATAGTCACAAGAAGAATGTAGGCTTAGCTTTTAAAGTTAATGTACTTTAAAGCTTAATTAAATAAAAGTTAAAGGTGCTGGGTGATAGGCAGTATCTTAATTGAGAAGGCAATAGATTGAATTAGGGTTTTTTTCTTAGAGATCCTCAATCCAATATTTCATGAAAACCAAACCGTCATATTCTTCAATTGCTAAAATCAATTTCAAGGTAAAAATGTCATGTCAAACCATGTACCAATAAGGGCATTGCAAATAAGATTTTTCTTGACCTTACCAATCAGTCACATTGCATCCCCTCCAAAGAGTATTATTAGATTTTTATCATTTTCTGAAAGCTTCTGCTTCAGAGACCAGCCTGATAAAGTAAAGTACTGATTCTAATAGATAGCCACAAACAAAGTTATGAATACCACTGCTATTCATTTAAGGGACATCACTACTCTACAGTAGATAAAGACTCTAATGAATTTACATTAATCAAATAAATATAATGATTATTTGGGACATACTTAGCTTCATAATTATATGTATTTTAGTAATCCCGTTTTAGAATTGACACAAAATGATAGATAACTTTACAAACATTCATATATCATGGAAAAGTATGGCTTGATCATCCATTATACTAATGACACATCTTATTATTACCATACTAATTCAAATTAATTTCTAGATCCATGTAATAGAACAAAGCCTGGTGTATAACAAAGTATTCAAAAGAAGAACAGTCTAATACTGTAAGCAAATGGAGCAAAATTCTGCCTTTGTCTTGTGTCCCACAATTTACCATATTGTAATGGGGCTTGCACAACAATTTCTGAATTTCTGCTACGAATTTAAATGGGCAGTTAGATACACAGGTGCAAGTCCCATTAGCACCACTAAGAACTGCACCAAGTTATTTAACTGAGTGCCGAACTCACAGCTCACAAACACGTAAGAGCTCTAAAACTGAAGTGCTCAGAACATTGAAAATTTTTCCCTTGGCAGATTCAAGATTTAACAATAAATAACATAAATTCCTGTGGTGATAACAAAAACTGCTGATTTGTAGACAGCTGATTTAATATAACTGATATAGCCTTGAAACAGCAAAGTTACATTGCATTAATTTAAACTAATTTTACAGCTCCTTCAGGCAGCATTATGTAATGAGAACCAATTTAATTTGAAAAACAAAACAGAAAAATACACATTTTGGCCTTCTCTGGATGCACAAAGGTATTTGACAGCATTGTTGATTTTCCAGGGAAATTTCTTGTAGAACGAATGTAAGATTTATGATGACTAGGAGCTTGGCCCCATTCTTACTGTGGCACATGTCAGTCTCCCAGTATTTATATTTTAAAAAAAAAAAAGAAAGTTTAATCTGCTGTCAGGGCACAGTATACAGGGAACTGGTTACAGAGAGTTTATACAGTTGGAAGAGAAATACTTCTGTGGAGTTGAAGCAACTGTGTTTGTGCCAGAAGTTTTTCAACCATATCCATGGTAGGCAGCATGAAAGAGATGCACAGAGAAGGGAGTACATGATGCAATCACAAACAAGCCACTCTGCAGTTCGTGTGATGCTGCCCACCACCCACCCTGCCTCCCTCTGCTGCTTGTAGGTGTGCTGTTGATATTATAAGCAAAGTGGTCCTGTAGAAACCCTCATAGTCAAGAGAGAGTTGACTCTTCTAGAGCACCGTTAATCTAATTAAAGCTGGTTTCTAAAATGGATCAGAGGAAACCCTTCTAGGTGTCCCTCTGTCAACTGGGGACATGGGCTCAAGCTCTGCCAGGGGAGGTTTAGGTTAGATGTTAGGAAGAAATTCTTTACAGAGAGGGTAATCAGACATTGGAACAGCCTACCCAGAGAGGTGGTGGATTCACCATCCCTGGAGGTTTTTAAAAAGAGATTGGATGTGGCCCTTAGTGCCATGATATAGTAATTGGAGTTGGATCAGGGGTTGGACTTGATGATCTTGGAGGTCTTTTCCAACCCAGTCTATTCTATGATTCTATGATATCTCCATGGCAGAAAGCATTCTCTGGCAGGTCTTCTGATCATGAGGTGCAGCCGCAGCTTTCCCTCAGAAAAGGCCCTCAGAAGGAATAGTGGCAGAGTGAGTGGCCAGTGTGCCTTCATGCCTGTTGTCAGGCAGCTCCTGTGCTGCAGTGAGGGGCAAACATCTCATGCCTGCTGGTCTGAGATACAGTGCAAAGCATGTCCCACAGTCAACACTCTCAGCAGAGACTTGCATGACTGAGTACCTAAGCAACAAGTGCTACACACCTGGGGCCTTACATAAACATTTTTCAAAAGAAGATACACTTTGCTGAGTTTTCGTGGCCCAGGGTCCACAGTGGCTTTGGCTCTAAAGCACTTTCTCACAAAGGCCATGGTGCCTTTCTGGAAACACAGTGAATTAGCTATGCCGTGGGTAAACCGTGCTTTATTTCTGCTTTCCACTGCTTCAGTCAAATTTGTTGGCTTTTACCTTGTCCTCTGGTCTCTTTCTATTGCTCTGGTTGTGAAAAAGGAAGAGAAATCCATGAGGCAGTCACTATGACATAGGCTGGGTAAGCTGAACTATGCCTGCTCAGTACATCAGGCTAGCCTCCTGATGGTCCTTGGCTTTGGAAATCATTTTCCATTAATTATCTGCAAAATATTTACTTTAAAAGTGCTGTGAACAATCAGGCCAGGAAGCTTGTTTACTTGAACATTTCCTCAACAAGAGTGAAAACACCATTGACATGAAGTTTTTATACTTTTCTCCCAGCTCTACATAAATGCTGTGTTGCGCTGATCAGGATTTTGCTTTGGTTAAAGAAGAACAAGACCCTTGGTGTTTATTTTTTCACTATATATGTATTGTTAAAGAAAGTTACGTTAATCACTGACTTCCTATGCTTGTATGTACTACAATTACCTTTTTTTTTCTTACAGGCATGTAGCCACCGCTCTAGCTCAGAGATAATCTGCTGTACAACACCTTCACTGAAAGTTTTCAATCTCCAACCACCCTTTGTAACCAAAGTGTTCTTTATTTTTGATGGTGTCAGCTCCCTGTACTTTGATTTTGATTATGTAAATAATCCTGTATTTAAGCATTTTGAAAAGCCAGTGTTCATCTCAAGAGGCAACCAAAATGTTCTGGAAATTAAGGTAAGAAATGCTGAAATAAGTTTTTCAATTATTCACAAGTACACATCAGCAGCACAGTGTGGAACAGACATTTTGATGACATAAGCCCCAAGGAAGCAAGGGCAGAGAGAGCACTGTGTTTGGTACGGCATTCACCCAAGCCCCCAGCTGTCACAATTTCAAAGATGCAGAGCTGAAAACAAAGATATGTATACCAGGGTGATTGGCATCAGGTGGAGTTGGAGAGGGACTTTCCTCGTCCTCGTGGGAGGACCATGCTGCATCAGCTTCTGATTGCAATGAGCTGCGTCACCAGTTCAGGATTAAACATGGCCAGCAGCCCAGAGCCTGAAGTATGTGGCCTGCACCCAAGTCCCAGCTCGTACTGTCACATGGTTTTGTGTCCTTCCTCACAAAAGATGTGGCCTAGCAGCTCTGGCTCTCTTGAGCCAAGGGAAACTCTGGCCTGTGCACAAAGTCACTCATGAGGATCAGTCACTGCTGTAGCCTAAATATTTATGGACCCGTGAAAAATGCAAAGTTGGTGATGAATGCCTCTTCGAAGAGCGTTGAGAATAGCCTACATGGCACTGAGAAACATCTCTTAGGAATTTGGGGCCCTTACAGGCACAGGCCGCTCTCTACTACAGAACTGTGGTGAAAGTTAAATCAACTTTGTGTGAGTCCAATTTTTTGAAATCTAATGCTTTATGAGTTTAGATTATCAAATAGAAAAGGTACAAATATGGATGTTTCTGGTTTACAATGAATGCTTACAAAAATCTGTTATAAAGTACACATAATTTATATAGATATCTATAATTTATATAGAATATAGTTGATAAAAAATGCTTTATGGAAGAGAATCAGTCTTAATGCTTAGGTTATCTCTTTCTGTAGCTCCTGCATAGCTCTATAAGCCAAAACCCTTTTCCCCTATCACAATGAAGAAATCTTGACACCCTGAGATCTTTGACTTCCAAGATGATCCAGTGAGCCAGCTTCTGGGCTGCCAGACATAAGAAGGATTACTCCAGAGCTCCTGTCAGCCATTATGACTTCCAGTCAAACTCTGAATATTAATTTGCCTCTGCAAAATGTTTTGGGCTTTGCTCTGATTTTTATTTTTTTATTTTGTTTTTCTACTTGGAGCTCTTGGCCGTACAATCACTCCTTCCTCAGTGCAGAGCAGTTCTCATGTTTAGTTATGGAGGAATGCTAGATAGAGTTCTGGTGTGTGGGTCAACGGAGATCTGGGAATATAGAGCTGCTGCATGGCTCAGTGCCTCTGTGCAATGACAGCAGTGTTTTCCAGTATTTTCCAGGTCATGCATATCAACCAGTTGGAAAGAGTACTAATTTGGGAAGAATCATAGAATAACATAGATTGGAAGGAACCTCTGGAGATCTTCATAGTCTAACCCTGTTGCTCAAAACAGGGCTAAGTTAAAAATCAGGTCAGGTTGCCTATGGCCTTGTCTAAATGAGTTTTGAAACTCACCAAGAATGGAGATTTTACATCTTTAAAAAAGCCAGCTCCATTAACCTTTCATTGTGTATCCTGTGCTTCGGCTCCCCTTCTAGCTCAGTGGCCCTCTGCTGTACTTCATCCAGTTTGTCAGTATATCTCTTATTCAGTGGGGTTAAAAACGTGACACAGTTCTCCAGGTGTGGCCTCACAAGTGCTGACCAAAGCAGAACAATCGCCTTTAATCTACTGCCTTTGCGGCTGCTAAAATGTGTGCTGAGCCTTCATCACTACAGTGGCATACTATCTTATTTCACATTATGGCCCACTATATCAGTCATTTTCCTAAATTTGTTGTCATCTGAAAGCTCAAAGACAGTGCATTCTATCCCTTTGTTCAGGCTCTCAATAAAGATTTAATTAGTATTGGTCCTAGTATCAGCCATTGACAAATGCCACATGTTAGACTTTTAAGATTTGATCTATTCCAGTAGGTTTTTCTATCACCTCAAAGACCATCTATCCAGTCCATACCATCCTAATTTGTTTTCATTGCTAGGAGAGATTGTGTTGCAAAACTTGCTAAAACCAGGGTCCTCTTGTCCAGTGCTCATCTTTCATCTACAGAACCAGTCATTTCTTCATAGAAGGCTGGTCAGACAAAATCTGCTCTTGGGAAACCTGTGCTGGCTGTGCCCAATTTCTTTTTTGTCCTTCCTCTGCCTCGAAGGGCTTCCAGGAAGACTTGCTCCATAATCTTCACAGGGACTGAGGGTTAAAAACTAGCTGGGTTTTTTAACTTCCTTCTTTTTACTTGCAAACTTTGTATTCTCCCCGAGGAAAAAGTCTCTGGTACTGTTTTATTGCTGGGAAGAAGCCATTTAGATGGGAAAGGCTGGCTGAGGACTGTCCTAGTGACCAAACTCACAATTTTGTAGTATTGACCTGTAGTCATGGCACCCAAGACAGATGTCTCCCTAAGCCTAATGTCCTGGTTATTCCCTGGCAACCATCTGGAGAATAGCATTAGTGAAAACTGGTCTCCTAGAATGAAGCATGGACAAGCACCAATTTAACATCTTCCTCTAAAGAGAATTAGTTATAGTGGGGTGCTTCTATCAAAACAGTGAGGCAACTTTCATAAATTATAGTCAGGAGCCAAAAGATCATTACAAGCCATATTGGCAACACTTTTCCCTCACCCCGTACCCACATTCAAAAATACACATAAGTTGACATGCCTCATGATTGTATTTTGTGCAGTAATTAAGCAAGCTCAGCATGAAATTAAATGGCAGCTTGCTTCAGTGAACAGTCTGTTCTACCAAACCAAAGTTCTTTTATCTCTTTCTTAATTAGTTTCAGGGGGGCGGAGGGAGCTTTTATCACAAGTTTTTCAATCTAACTAATCTAGTGTGACATATTTGGCTTTCACCAAATGACAGTGGGTACTGATTGAAAGGTTCTGTTTGGTTTCCCCTGATGACCACAAGATGTTTTTGTAAGAAAATGTTACACACAAGAAAACTTTAGGTCTTCTATTTAAAACACAGGGCACTGTGTGCCACAAACACCAAACCTCCTTTTCTTCAGTGCCAGCCTCTCAAGGTCCCATATCATCACTCTCTTCTGCTGCCAAGTATGTGGGTCTTTGAAGTCGCTTGGTGCCCACCATCCCCCAATCAGAGGGGTCATGACAGAGTGGCTTGAGACACTTCTCAGATTCAACACCACGAAGACACCACTTCAGAAGTGCTCCCATCTCCTGCCAACATGGGAAGGTGTCAGGGTGGGAGAAATTCTGGTGTTTCACTGCTGGGGACGGTGGAACACCTGAGTCTGCTGAAGAGGACAGAGTACACTTGCTGCCTCTGGCAGAAGCCACTGACCCAGCCATGCAAGCTGGGCTGCTGCAAACCCCGTGCATCCTAGTTGTGAAAAGAAAAAACAATGAGAAAAGAAGCTGCGTCTTTCCTCAGTCTTCCCAAAGCCTGTCCTGTTCTGGGGTTGTGCTTATGCACTAAGCTGGTGCAGGGACTTTGTGCATTATTCCAGGGGAGGCCTAGGCATGGACCACCAGTAAGTAAAGTGGATTTATAGATATAAATCTTCCACTAGAGAAATACGTGGCACAATTGTCATTTCATGTGTAACAACTGGCATGTTACACAGCACATCTGAGATCTTGGCTGTCCTCTGGCCCTTTTGTATTAAAACTCCAAGTAGGACAAGATTTACTAAATTGCCCACTCTATTCCTATGCCAGTGCAACACATTCTTTATAAGACAATCTTAAGAAACTCTTCTTACCTATTTATAGGTCACTGTATTGTCAATCTTCTTCCATTGCATAGGAAATTATGTTACTCTCAATATCTGGTCCAAAAGAGAGCAATATGGAAACTATGGTATTTTTGAACAAGCTGAAGGGAAACCTCTGCAGCTGCAGTAACTCCTCATTCTTTCCAAGAAACCCTTTCTCTCTGCTTAGGAACCTCAGAAATTCTTCTGACACCAACCTGAAAATTTCCACACCTTAGTTTGCGGTTCTTGTACTGCTTCTAGACTTTTACGCACATTATTCCCAAATCTCTAAAGTTGTGAGGTTATTGAGCTATCAGATTGGTTTGCAACAGCTACTCAGTCCAGTAATGAACTTCTCCAGCTTGCATGCAAGAGCATTGCTCACCAAGAAGGGGGCAATACACATTTTAAAAGAGGACATATTTTTTCCCAGTTCTCACAGGAGCCAGTTGCCTCCTTCTCTGAAAATTTTAGGCAGATTCTGTTGTCCTGGAAGAGCAAAACCACTGCTGAGCTTTGAAACTCCTAATATATTGAGTTATCATAAATTAAATTAAAATATATTAGTGGTAACATAATGGTAATAGTACTAAGTAAAAGCTACCATCATCTTTATAACTGGCTAAGGATCACCTTAGGAAACATCAGTAGGATTTCTTTTCCATTTGGGTAAGTATCACTTTTGACGGTGAAAAAAAATCTAAGCTATGGTGTAGAAGAACTGTAGAATCATAGAATCACTCCAAGGTAATATATTTATCCTGAGGATGAAAAACTTAAATTCAAGTCTTTTGAGGTACATCATTCAAAGGAAAGATTTGAACATGAATGGCTCACAATCTGCAGCAAGTCTCCGTACTGCTAAGCAATACGCAGTCACTCACAAGCTCCCTGGCCCATGGAATATTTACTTAACATCAAACAGAATGGTTCCAAGTAGATAGAAGATAGAGTGCTAAGTGGACTTCTGTGGACAGCAATTAAAAAGCATTTATTTGGGGTGTGGCTTTGCCAGTCAAATTAGGACATTAAGCTGGCTCTCCTGTACATTTATTACAATTTCCCCTGGGTTGAGTCTCATTCTGCAGTAAATCTAAAATGCCAGAGTAAGATTTTTTGCCCCTCAGAATGGAATTCTTGTTTCTTTTCCAATATACGAGGTCTCATAGCCGTGTCAGCTGCAGTGCCTTCCCTCCCTTCTCATGGAAAACTCCCAGATCCAGCTCACATAAATAGCCTGTGTTAGTGCCACACTCCCTTCTCCCCTTCTAATCCTGCTTAATATGCCTCTTTTTTCATCTTATGCTGGGTTGTACATGGGGTAGGGCAGCTTCTTAAATACTGATGCACTCTTGAGCACAAAAGATGCTGAACTTAGCCTTTGAATGCCATTATTAGAGTACCGGAATAATACAGTGAATAATTTTTCATCCAAAAAGCGAAAGCAGGTTTTCTGAGCAGGGGGTGCACTTTTCATGCTCTCATCTTTACCAGGGTTTATTCCTTTTTGATCTGTGAAACGTGATTTTAACAGATTTGTGCATTATTATAATTAATTACTTCATTTTGAGAGCTTCGCTTCTGCTACCATAACCACTTGCAAAACAAAATGTTTGAGATGCCTTTAGCTTGTGGATAATATAATGCCAGTTTTGTGTAAACAACAGCGTTACATAATACGTCCTTTCTTGCGCAAATTATGCAAAAATCTAAACAGGACCAACAGGATTAATCCTTCAGACATTTACATTTTTAGAAGTCTATATGGGCTGTATGAGTATCAGTGACAGCAGAATTTATCTGTAAACTTCATCATCCCTCTCAGGCCTGTCTGTCAAAGTCCCATTTACATGAAAAAAAACTTATACATACCTATTGACCAGGACAGTGTAAATTTGCATTAGTCTTTTATTTCTCAATTGTTTTTCCATTAAAAACATTTTCCAAGCTTGTAACTCCTTAACTTTTATGAGATGGTCATGTAATATGAAATTGATTTTTTTTTCTAAGGGAAATTACATTGATTCAGAAGCTGTTAAAGGAGAGGTGCTAAAAGTTGGAAATAAAAGCTGCGAAAACCTCCTCCTGCAGTCGGAATCAATTCTGTGTACGGTTCCCAGTGATCTCCTGAAATCCAACAGCGAGCTAAATATAGAGGTGAGGCAACTACACCACACATGAGATATTAATGCCATTTTTATTATGATTCACAGTGTCACTGTTGAACCAATAAACTTTAAACTTAAGCCTAAGCCTGTGCTTGCAGAGATATCTCTATCCAAGTTTGTTTGGGATGGAAATTCAAATAATATCAACTAGTTTAAGATAAATATTGTCTTCAGTGTTGTTATTACTTGTTTGTACAGAGAGTTTCTGTAGGCTTCAGCACAAAGTAGAACCTGAGCTAAGCACAGAAATAAAATTATAGCTATTAATCCAAACACAAGAGGAAACATATGGGGAAGAATGGGAAGCTATAATGAAGTATGTTTAGTTTGGAACTCATAAGCCCTTTTTTCAACAAAAAATTCTGCAGCAGTCAAGAGGATCACATCCTTCCTGAAAGATTTTTTTAATCTACTTTTTATAATTTCATTTCAATTTTTTTTTTTTATAAGAGAAAACACTTTGGAAGAATTTTTGAGTTGACCATTTTTCTAAAGGTGATCATACAGTGTGCTACTCCAAATTTAAATTATAGATATACTGATTCATAGAATAAAACACAGATCTTTCAGTATCTTTCTATTTTTTAAATACATAACAAAAGGAAAATCCCAGTGGAATAGGAATACCTTTAAACTATGAAACTTGACTCTGATTCACTGAAAACAGTACAAACTTAGCTAGTCATGTAAGTCTGATTAGGATCAAAGTCTATGTAAGCTCTTTGGAGCAAGGACCATCTATTTCATATGACATTCATATCAACAGGATCCTGAGCTGTGACTGATATTGCTATGTGCTATTGCAATCTAAGTAAATGGTAATAACTCAGCTGTTGTATTCATGTAGTAAATATTAAATTTATTTTAATATTTATTTTTAAATTAATTATTAAATTTCTTGGATACCTCAGACAAACTATAAAATTAGATGCAGCTCTTCTTTTGGTGTATGTTTCCCAAAACTGTAAGTGCCTATGTTCATATAATACTTTGGCACAGGTTGCATTTGGTTCATATTTTCACATATGCAACCGGAGCTGACACGACATTCCATCAGTTCTACTATGCGATATTTCCTTAAACTCTAAGAAACAGATATGCATGACAGGTTTTACGCATAGAAAAGAACAAAACATAAAGGGGTTAAATAAGGTTTCTACTTGTTTACTGGCAAGGAGACACAGAAATTGCAGTCTGCCCAACGAAGAAGAAAATTTGCTCTTTTGACGGGCAAATCCATCATTACAGTACCCAGAGGAATGAATTCCACAGGAGGAAGAGAAAAGATGGCCAAATGCATTCCAACTGACTGAGCTAGTGCTGTGTGACCTAAAACACTTTTTCCCTGTTAGCTGCTTGATGTTTGTTTGGTGGTTGATTTTTGGGGTTGGTTTTTTGTTTTGTTTTGTTTTGTTTTGTTTCTTTAAACTGTCAACAAGCTAGAAGCTGGCCAGGGACAGGCTCACATGACCTTGGGAACTAAAATGTAGGCATGCTGACAGCAAGAGAGTGAGTTTGATGTTACGACATATTTATGCCAGAAGGCCACATATTAAAGACAGTTGGGCTGGCTTTTTTAATGTATATCTCAGCCCATACATCCATGGGCCCATACATTTCCATGCACCATTTGAGTAAGAGTATGAATTTAAAATTTTGAATTAACATCTGGTAACCGTGGGACCCTGTTACCCAGAGTGTGTGTGAGTGCATGCTGTGTGTGTAGTGTATCAAATTCACAGCTGCATCTCAACCAGAGCTCTTGAAGGTGAGTAATGAGGAAAGAAACACATAGATCTGGTTTCATGTACAGCAGTGTAACAATTTCTTCACTCCCAGTATCTTATCACAGTACAGCATCACAAACCCAAGATTTAGTACATATGGGACATATCAGCTCATAGTTTAGTACTAATAATCTAGTTCTTACTTGTCTTTGGAAATCATCACACTATTTTTTTCTTTGTTTTTTCAGTGGAAGCAAGAAGTTTTATCAACAGTTATCGGAAAAGTGCTGATCCGGCAAGATCAGAATTTCACGGGACTAATTGCTGGAGTAATTTCAACATCACTTTTACTTTTTATCTTTTTGGTGTTTTTCCTCTGGAGAAGGAAGAAGAAACAAATTAAAGGTACATCATAGTCAATCCCATCAAATAAGTCCATTATTTTATCTTAGATTTTTTAAAATTACATAATTTTATGCTTTTCTTAACTACCATGCAATGCCCTGTTGTAACGCATTAGCATAGGTTTCACAATCAAGTCCCAAGGTTTAGTTGCATGTCAGTGCTTGGCTCTTGCCTGAGCTGGGTGAAGGGGCACACTATGCCTTAAGCAGAAGGATTTCAGAGGAACTCTAAGCTAGTAACTTCTCTTCCCCAATCAGCTTTGGAAGAGAGGACGAGTAAATGATATGCATGGAATCACGAGTACTTCAGCTTCATCCAGTTGCCTTGTAGTCCTCCAGGCTGTGCCTGAGTTTTGCAAGACACAGAGCACTGCAGTGTCGTGGTCTCTTTTTCACCCAAATCAGGAACTTGGTCAGACCCTGGCTCCTCTCTGGCCCCTGTGTCTGGGTTTGCTTCCAGTGGGAGCTGCCACACTATGCAAGGTGGGAGGAGCAGGGGAGGTAGTATATAACCAAGTCTTGTTGTGATGCAGTATCTCAGTCAGACCATGAAGCTGGCCCTAGAGGCTTCAAAGCTGTCTTCAGTCTTCCAGTGTGGCCAAGAGTGGGTCTTCAACACAAGCTGCAGCAAATCTTGTGCTGTAATATGTCTGCCACAGCAACAACCCAACCTTCTTCCCAACAGAGTAGAACATGTAGATTTAAATAAATAGCTAAAATGAATATTGGCATACTAAAACCATGAGGGTTTTCTAATGTTTCTTTCTTCTCCTCTTCAGATCTGGGAAGTGACCTAGTGCGTTATGATGGCAGAGTGCACACTCCTCACCTGGACAGGTTGGTGAGCGCAAGGAGTGTAAGTCCAACAACAGAAATGGTTTCAAGTGAATCTGTAGACTACAGATCAACTTTTCTAGAAGGTACACCTCTATTAGGAATCTGTATAGATGATATTTTATGCATTTTGATTTTCATATGTCTTCAGATGATAGCTATTTTGATCAGTATCCTAATTTCAGTTTGTCATCTAGTTTATCTGTGACTGCATTTGTGGGACTCCTATGTTCACAGGCTTGCTACTTTAACTGAACTTCCCAGGTGCTTCCCAAGAATAAGGTGCAAAGGATTTTTAGTTTTACTCAGGTTGGTGGAATATATAAAATGCTATTAGTGGAAACTCGCTATGCTGAACAATTTATTAGGAGCTAATGGATATAATTAATTTGTGTTTATCATGAGTCCATCAGGCCACGCTCAAATCCACTCTGAAAAAAGTTATTTTAAGGATAACATCAAGTGGGTTTAGGTTTAGTGTGTCTCAGTGACTTCATACAGTCATCGTAAAGCAGTTCTGTTGGCCCAACGTGGGCCATGGAGCTTTGTAAACTGATACTCTTTTGTCTGTTAATGCCCCTTCTGTAATGGTACACTGTAAAATGCAGAAATGTTGGCTTTAAAAATTAAGCTAAAGGGATATGAAGACTTACAAATTGAGTGGAGGTCCACGTGTGCTGCGATGCCGGTCCCAGGGAACAATAACCCTATGTCAAACACAATTTTGTCCTGTATAAAACCATTTTAAAGTGGGTTCTTCAGAAGAGAGTCTGCTACACTTATCGTACCGCATTAGGTTGAACACCTCCTTTAAGACATGGAGACCATGTCCTGCGATTACCGTTACTGAGCCTGTAACTATTAGGAGTTACCACATTATGGTGTGTAAGATATCACAGATATTTGTTAGTCTTGGTATATACATAGACTTGTATTATTTCAAGTGCTGCCATACACAGCTCAATAGAAATCACTCCAAATCCTTATTTCGCCTCTGTAAGCCCCAATTGCTGAGCTTTTTGAGAGACAGGCCAGTTCCCAGCTTCCCTTACCATTCTTTAATTGCTGCCATCAGCTCATACAGAAGTTTCTTGATTGAAAAATTCCCAAAGGAAATGGCCTGTGCCACTGATTAGAAGGGAAAGTGGTACACAAGACAAAACTGTGCAAAGATCCTTGCTGGAAGATAAATCCTGGCAAAGCACAGCAGGGAGCGCATCCAAGAAGGAGATGTGTTCACCTAAAGTCTCCCTAGCAGTGTTTATGTCAATTCCTATCAAAGAATAAAACAACAGGAACATTAGAAAACATGCAGATTTACATGTAGAAGCTGCAAAAATTATTTTTCAGCCATATCTGGATTATTTTACTGTGATTATTAAATAGATATTTGCTGTTAGCAACAAACTCATTTGTAAATGTAGGAGTTGGTATTTTTGCTTCTAGATAGAATAGCACAGTTTTTCTCAGCAACTAGAGTGACAACAGCACTATATGAAAAATTTCCAAGTTTTGTACAGAAATATATAAAGCATGGCTGTACAGAATCTTTTACTTGTTGTGATACAGTACCTGATAATTTCTGTTCTTAAATTTATTCACTTTTTTGGTTTTGACCCTAGACTTAATTCTTCTCATTGACTCCACTAGAATCACTCCAGACTGAAACTGATGTAAATTAAACTTAGTTCTTTCATTCAGTCACCAAAAAATACTAAAAAAAAAAAAAATTAAACAAAAACGATATGAAATACCTGAACCACATACTGTTGATAAAAAAATTCTCAAATATATACTTCTGTCTTTACTGAAATACTTTAATTTCTGCTATTTCAGATGGCTGATGTTATTTTCATGAGTAGCACCAACTGTATTATCTTCAGCAGTTACAGGATATGAATCACCTCTAGGCATTTCCCTGGTTGAATATTTACCATTGGATAAATATAGCTAGTCACCAGCAGTTAGGAAACCTTCGTGAAATGTAAAGTTCCCTACCAAATTAGAACATGACAATAATAAAAGGTTTCATGTTTTTAATTGTTCACTACCAGCTCCTCCCATATTGCTGTCAGTTTTCCATTTTACTCTTGTTACTCCCAGTTATTAGAAATGCGATAACCTCTACTTGGCAGGAAGTGACAAGTCTTCATTCCATCCCCTGAGAAAAGTGGAAGTTTTGCCATTTACTTTCATGAAAGCAGAGCTGATTCTAGCTAGCTGTCACTAGCGTAAGTTTCTAGTGACATAGTTTTCCTGGAGTTTGGCAGATTACCAATGCGTATTTTCATTTTCCCTTTGTGACCAAAACTTCCATAAAGCCAAGCCACTTCCAAACTGTTAAAATCAAACCTTGCTTTCCAATGCAATAAAACTTCATTTTTCAAGGAGAATTTTGAAAGGATTATAACAGTTTCTGTTCATCTTGCAGATCAGTTTCCAAGCATGTCTCAGAACGGATCATGCAGACCTGCCCAGTATCCTCATTCTGACCTCTCCCCGATTCTGTCTAGCGGAGACTCAGATTTAGCCAGTCCACTTCTCCAAACTAATGTCCACATTGACATCAGTGCCTTAAATCCTGACCTGGTCAAAGAAGTGCAGCATGTGGTTATTGGTGCTGACAGCCTGATAGTGCACTTCAGTGAAGTAATCGGAAGAGGTGGGTACTGCAACTCTTACCTTGCAAACTGCTCTTCTTTTTGTACACCCATTCATTATAAACCATTCTGAATAAGGTGTCTGCACAGATGTTTTTCAAGCATTTTACCTCTTATAGGACTGCATCCCACATGTTGAAACAAAGGGGAACCAAAGGGCTCTCCTTTAAAGTCAGATGAGAGCCTGTACATTTTATCTGTTGGAGAAGACCATCATCAGGAGGAAAGAGTTTGCAATTAATGGGGCTCCTTTGAACTCAGAAGCTTACTGGTTCCCCCTCAGCAGTTTCACCCTTTTCCAGGCTACAGAAAAGCTCAGCCGGGGCTTCTGATCCGCAAGGCTGCAGTGCAGGAGTGAATCTGTGACAGGATATTGCCTAAGGCACACACCTAAATGGCAGGGGTTGCCAAGGCAGGGAGACAAGTGACCTTAAACTTGGAGTCTGTGATCTGTCACGATTGCTACATGACACACAAAACGCTTGCAGTCACTAATGCATTCAGTAAAAGTCCCCATGGTCCAGGTAAAATGCCCACACCCCTTTCCCTCCACAAGTTTTCCCCAGGTCTGAGGAATTTGCCATTTGTTTCCTCCCAGCAAAGGCTCTCCATTCCTCCTCATTCCTCTCTTATGCCAGATGCAGTAATGCATAGGTTCTCATTCACTTCCTTTTAGTTTTTTTCCTGATACAGCAAGTCTCCTACTCTTCTAAATTTTTCTCATCACTGCTATTCCTCTACATCTCTGTTAGCAAGTACCCTTCACCTTTCATAGCCCAAGCCAGAATTTCTATTAGGGACATTTATTAATCTCTGTATGACTGAGTACCTATTAATAACCAAAATACAAACTGCATTTTCCATACTTCTACAGATCATGTATCACAGATCTCATGCTGAGTATAAGAATGCTGATAAAAAAATTGGCTATAAAGTATATTTTTAATCCTTCTTCTGCAGGAAAAGAGCCACAAATCAGTCAGTCAGTCAATTTTCCTTCCATGTATTACACTTCATCATCCCCAAAGCAAGGGTGGGCCTTTTTCTTTTCTTTCTTGTTTTGGAAAACTACAACTAATTTCCCATTTTCTAATGTTAAAAAATATCAGGAATGACGCCGATATAATTAATGATTTTAAATTTTCTCCTCCATAACTAGAAATGGGCCAAACCCAAAAATACTGTAGACACACCCAATCCAAGCTTTAGGATTTGTGCCCAGGCTCCAGGCAATCTGTGGTCTAATGGGATTTTAGTTGCTTTTATAAAACAAACTTTGTATTAATTTTACCTCAAGCCAAAAGCAAAGCCAACTGAGCTCTGAACAGTACTTATGACAGGAACCTAGTAAAATTAATCAGGTAGTCTTGTTCTCTGTAGAACTCACAAAAGCAAAAAAACTACTTTGCTTTCTAACTGCAAATATTAGTATTTTAAAAGTTTCCAGTAAATGTTACATTTGTGAAAGAAAGCCTCAATTACATGGGCATAATTTGATTTGGATAAATTTATGCACAAGCCTAGAGCTTAAACTTCATTGTTTCCCAGACAGGTCACCACGGCTTCTCAGAGTAGGTTTCTGTAGACTACCCCATTTGCTTCACAGGAAAGCACAGGATCAGAAGGGATTTCTGTGTCCCTGGCAGTTCATTTCACTGCTCAGACCATGAGAAAGAAGGCAAATTTTGTTCACTACCTTTTAGTGACATTTTATGCTTGAAACCAGGCCATAGAGGAGACCATAGACTGCTGCTGAGTGATGTCGTCGATCTGTGATCAGTAGAGCAACTCCCAAACCATTCACAGCCAACACATCGCTTTTAATACTCAACATTTGCCATGGAATAGCAGACCTGAGAGACTGTAAGCCCACAGTGAGCGTCCTTTTCAGGCATCAAGTTTGTACAGTCCAGTGGACCAGTGGATCTGTGTGGGCTTGCAGGTCACTAGGAACCACCAATCCAGTGGTCATGTCAGCTCCCTCCTATCTGCTCCCTGTCCCTTCCAAGTGCCCTCCTTTGACTCGTGTCTCACAGGAGATTATGGTGGGAATTGGCTCACATGGTGTTTGTGTGCATACTCATTAGAGGAAACATTTGTGGCACGAGCCTTGGCATTATTTATACTCTCTGTTTATGTCAGGAAATATCTAATATTTTGCAAATAGAGCTTTCATTTTACGTAATGGTGGTTTTATGCAGTGGTGGGTTTTTTGTAATGGTTCTATGTGTTAGTTAGGAAATATACGTTACAAGTGTTGAGAATTGGACAGAAATAAAGTGTGATCCCTTTCTTAAAGCATAATTGCTACCCAGTGGAAAATACCAGAAAGCTAATTTTACTTCTTAAATCTAACATTGCTTATTTTTTTACACAGGACATTTTGGGTGTGTGTACCATGGGACATTGCTGGATAACGATAGCAGGAAAATTCATTGTGCTGTGAAGTCACTGAATAGTGAGTTACATGTTTAATAGTGAGACATTACTATTAATTCCAAAGATAACTGAGGTGAACTGATAAATTACAGTGAAGTATACTTTCACAAACAAAGATTCTTAGTTGCGGCTGAATCAGATTTATCTTTGGAGCAATTCCAGTTACTTCAGATTAACATGAGGCATTGGCATATGTTTTTATATCAAATGAAATGTCCATATATTTCCCCTACAGAGAAAGGAACACTGGAAAATGAGGGAAAGGCAGTGTAATTTTTTATTCTACTGTCTACTGAAGATTCAGATTTGGAAGTTAAATTGCTAAAGAGTAGGCAAAGCTGCTGGAAAAACAGGAAGAGACTATAACAATATTTAATAAGGGTTTTACTCAAGCGTTGTTATTGAATTTCAAGTAATTGATTATTAAAAAAAGGAGAGACAGAATTAAAATCACCAACAGACTGTATTTGGTCATTGTAGGAAAACCAATGCACATAACCTGGTTGTAATGTGGGATGTGGGGAGCACATTTGTAGTCTCTCATTATGGCTTTGTTGTGCAATGACATGCTGTACAGAAATGAACACTAGTTTGTTTCCGCTTCTTTTAATTAACTCATTACTGGATTTCTCAGGGATTACAGATCTGGAAGAAGTAGCTCAGTTTCTGAAAGAAGGAATAATCATGAAGGATTTCACTCATCCCAATGTTCTGTCACTCCTGGGAATCTGTTTGCCCAACGAAGGATCCCCGTTAGTTGTTCTTCCCTACATGAAACATGGAGATCTTCGAAACTTCATCAGGAATGAGACTCATGTAAGTACACGGTGAGGTCTACCAAACATTAGTGCAAGTCTAGCCACGCCCTGCTCCAACACCACAGGTTATAAGCTCTCGTAATTACATTACGTCTGTAACTCACTGCTGTTACTACACCTTAACCTTTAGCACTTGCTTAGGCTGGCATCAAGCCCAGCTACAGCACTGCTACGTCTTCCCTTCCCCCTCAAATTCCTCTCTAGAATGTTTCCCAGAAATTATAAGCAATAAATATTTCTCATTTGCCATCCATAAGCCTCTTTATAAACAAATGTGTTTATGAGAGCCAAGTCAAGGGGCCCAATCATCTGCTGGTTTACACTGGCATATCTCTGTTGACTTCAGCACAGCTATACCAGTTGTGACCATCTGCTCTTTCAACTCCTAGGTAAGGGATCTCCATGTCCAACTAGTGTCATAGTCTGTTTATTTTCAATATTTTTTTATTCATATATTAAGAAAGAGAAACAGGAATTGTTTTACAAACTATGAGTACTGTTATCAGAGACCTTCCCCATTTCCATTGAAAAACTGCACACTCCTCAAATGTGCCTCACTGCTTTCTCACACGAATGAGACCACAGGTCTTGCCTCAGGTAGTGTAAGCCTATTTATACTGTAGTATTTCACCTATTTCACAGTGCTAGGACAACATAAAGTGACTTCTGAGACAATAAAATTTTGCTTTCCTCTATGGCAGTCAACTATAGCCAGTACAATTTTTTTAAAAAAATGAATTTTGTCTAATTTTTGAAGGAATTAAGCTTTCTGAGATAGGGATCTCTTCCCTTTTGAGCTTCTTTCATTCTACAAAGACCAGGGCCCTCATCTGTGAATAGTGCCATGGTCCTTCCAGAAATAATTAGAATGATGACCACAGTTGAACAAGATTGTTCCACGGAAGAAAATTATAAGGAGCATTGTCAACAACACAAAAATCTGTGGGAACTTTACTATTACATAACAAGTCATATGATTGGGTAAAAGAGATTTACAGGTTTATGTTTATACTTATTTTGATATTTAACATTTTCAGTATTGTCTTACCATGTAGACCAGCAGAAAGGGTTATTAATCATTGTGGAAAATCTTCCTCTGCTAATTGCTAAGGTCCCATTTGCCTTATTTTGTACCAGACAGGACTCTCTTATTTCTTGGTCATCTCTAGCTGATGAGCTCCAAGTTCATAGTTAGTACTTTCTGCTGACTTACATGCAATTACTCGTAAGTTCACACATGTGAATTCTGTGTGCCAGCTGTGATGCTGTTCCAGCAGACTGTTCCACTTCCCAGTTATGCTGCTTATGCTGCAAACTCCACTCTTCTGGAGACTGTCAGCTTTTTTGTTGTCTTATAGTGTGTCTTCTCACTGGAGGTAAGAACCTGACCTAAACTTAAACCAGTTTCATTACAAGCACCAACCTGTCTTGATCATTCTGGTGGCAGGACAGGTGGGGTGTAAAACCTGAAGAGTCACAGCAAAAAGCAGTTTGCTCCTTAAGTTTATGCAATCATTGTATCACGAATGTTTGTATTTTACAGAATCCAACAGTAAAAGATTTAATTGGATTTGGCCTTCAGGTCGCAAAAGGAATGAAATACCTTGCAAGCAAAAAGTTCGTCCATAGAGATTTGGCAGCAAGAAACTGTATGTAAGTACAAACATCTTCTTCCAGTCACGTTATCACACTCTTCTGTGTAAGACAGTGAGATGAGATAAATAAAAGTTTCCAAGATTCTGCTTTTTTTCAGTCAAAATAGGGTGTTTTTTTTCATTGCTCTGTAATTATACTGATGTTTGTCTTGCATACTGATGAGCTACTCATCTTGCTACCGGCTCATTTCTTACACATAAGCTTTTTTTGAGTGTGAGAAATAAGAAAGCTGAGGTGAAAGTATAGCATCTCAAAATCATTGGTTAGAGAGTTTAAAAGGCATTTCCTAAGGGGAGTTAAACTGCTGTTGCCTCAACTTGCTGTGCTTCCACCCAACTTCTTCAGAAGCAGCATGTCTCTGCTGCCACACCTAACAGGAGGGAGAGGAACACACAAAACTTTGTGAGAAAAACAGGAACACAAAGAAACACCAGTGAGACCTCTTGACAGTAGTCTTTCATTACTGAGTATGAGCTTACTTTGACTCAACTACGCACACAAATTAACATTCAAAGAATCTTACTAGTGTCTGGGTAGCCAGACAGTTAAGTTCACGCAAAGACTAACTGATACAGGAGCTGCCGATACGATTATGCTGATTTATCACCAATGTTGTGAATTAATAAGGTACAAGATTAAACATTAGAGTTTATTTTTAGTGTGTCATAAACTGGAACTCTGGCTGCAAAAAGGTCATTAACCTGTGACATCAGATTTTTTTATTCTTTTTCGAAAGGATGCACACTTGTGCAGCTGAACAGCCTCTGAAACAGAACATTTTCATACAAGTGCTGCTTTTTTAAGGGAGGAAAAAAGCCACAAGCAACATAATTTGTATGTTTCCTAAGAACAGATTATTTGAATTACTGGACAAAAGTCCTACTTCATCTAATCAAAGTCCAAAGAGGGGCAACAGGACATTCCCTCTGGCCTGTGTCTCTTCCTTGGGTGAGGAGGGAACAGCTTCAGGGTGTCTCACATGACCACTGAATGGCTGCTTTTTTACTTCTGTGTGGCTTGGCACTTCAGAGCCTGGAAAGCTGCTGCCACAAGAGAACACCCCTTTCCCCGGTGACCATCCATCACTCAGAAGCACAGGACCTGCCACAGTAGTGATGTCTATCAGAAAGGAAGCCAGGATGCAAATATAGTCCCTGGGGACTATTAACTCTATTCCACTGCCCTGGAAGAAGTGCAGGAACCTGCTATGGCATAAACTGTGTCCTGTTAACCCATCAAAGTTCTGTCCCACTCCCTTTTCTGGATTTAGTTATAACATCAATAAATGCAGCAGACGGTTTTGTCCCATTCAGAGGGACTTCAACAGACCAGAGTTGTCCAGACAGAAACCTCATAAATTTAAGACAGGAGAATGCCTCGTGTAGACACTGAGAGATGGGAACATTTAGCATAGAGAAAATTCAGAGGGATCTTATCCATATGTATAAATACCTGATATGGTAGGCCGAAGAAGATCTAAGTGGTGCCCAGGGATAGACCAAGAGGCAGCAGGCACAAATCAAAACAGAGAAAATTGCATTTAAACATAGGAAGAAATGCTTTTATTGCAAGGATGACTGAACACTGGCACAGGTTGCCCAGAGAGGTTGTGGAGTCTTAATCTGAGCAGATATTCAAAATCCAACTGGTCGTGGTCTTGAGCAACCTGCAGTCCCTGATCCTGTTTTGAGCAGGGAAGGTCATGGTGAAGTAGATGATCTTCAGAGACCCGTTCCAACCTCACCCATTCTCTGATTGTGTGATTCTGTAAAGAAGCCCAAAAGCAAGTGTTTGCTGTGGCTAGGTCTGCACATGTAATAAAGGATAGCACATGCAATAAAGGATAGAGCATGCCAACACCCATGCTCTGTCCGGTTTTTGACAGTGATACTACTTACCAGGACAAACACCAACCGTAGGAGAAGAAAAACTAAGGATATCTTCTGGTAGGGCTGAGGTGTAACCCCAGCTGAACTTTTGTTATGCCATCACTTTCTCCCAGAACAGACACCAAACACATTTTTAGTTACAGGACTACATTATTGTATAGAGGCAGTTACTGAGATAATGATGGACCCCTCCTTATCAAAACTGAGAGTAAGCAGGAAAGGACATGCCTTGGCTTGGAAATAAAAATTAGCCAGTTTTAAGGATACAGAAGAAGAAACGGCTGTGGAAGAAATTATGTAGCACTCAATTAGGATATATAGGCTATTAGCCAAAATCTTTTTATACACAGCAATTGTTTTAAAATAATTGTAATTCAAATTGTATTATGAAAACAATATCAGTAATTTCCCAGGTTCATTCACTGTGTTAAATGGATGTTAAATATACTTTGCTGCACTTTTTTTTTCACTGTTACATTGGTTAATAGATCCAAAATAAAGTACTGCCTTTTAAAGTCAATGCAAGTCACTCAGTATAATCCACCATTTCAAAAACGCAAGTCACTCATTATAATCCACCATCTCTGTAAATCTTGCATGCTTAGTCCCAAATAATACCTTTTGTCATTTCTCTAGGTTGGATGAAAAATTCACTGTCAAGGTTGCTGATTTTGGTCTTGCTAGAGATGTCTATGATAAAGAATACTACAGTGTGCACAATAAAACAGGAGCTAAACTGCCAGTGAAATGGATGGCTTTAGAAAGTTTACAAACTCAAAAGTTCACAACAAAGTCAGATGTGGTAATGTACAAACATATTTGTATCACCTATTTGTTTCTTTTATATTGCCTGAGACATCTTTCTAGTGGAATGGACTAATTCCAAATCAAAACTTATATTTGAATCTAACTTTAATTCACATAATAATAAAAGACTGTGTACGTCCAGAAAGTGTATTTGTCCCAATCACAAAACAACAAGTTGCTGACCTGATTTTGTCTTACTGCTCAAGAAAGAATTAGTTTAACCTCGTTCCAAGGGAAACTAAGGACTTTCCAGGAAGCCAAGTTGGAACTGAACCCTGCTATAGGAGGGGCTCTGGAAAGCTTGACAAAACAGGTTAACTTTGAGACTCATAAAATTTACTAGTTCTCAAAAATACTTTATTTGCTTTATAAATATTTACTGACTGCTTTGAGCAATCTCAAGTATTACCTGGACATTTATGAAGAAAAAATTGTTAAGATGAAGTCATTAGTTGGGAGGATCACTTTTTATTTTAGCTCTCCTTTCAATCCAGATTCAGATTAGCCTGTGATGCACAGAATTTTTACCACATACACCGTCTTCAGTATGTGTTTACACAGAGTTAGTCAGATCATCAGCTCATGTAAACTGCCAGAGTTCCATTAACCTCAAAAGAGGCCTGCCAATTTATATCAGTAAAGTAGCAGGCCTATGGGCTTTTATTTTTTTTTCATTTACTTAGTTGAGATTCTCTAGTTCTTATTTAAGTGGCTCCTCAAGTCCTTACAGCATTTATTAGTGCACTTAAAGAAAGCCGAATGCAGTAAAATAACTTTTCAAATGGAAAATCCATGCATTTGAATGCTTAAATCTGTCAAACCATCTTAAAACTGGAAAGTAAAGCCCTCAAACCCTATAACTTACTATTTATTTCTTTGTTTTCTTAGTGGTCCTTTGGTGTGTTGTTATGGGAACTTATGACACGAGGGGCACCGCCTTATCCTGATGTAAATTCTTTTGATATAACTGTTTACTTATTACAAGGCAGAAGGCTGCTACAACCTGAATACTGCCCTGATCCACTGTAAGTAAATAGCTTGCAAAGTCTTCTGCAAATGCTGCTGATTCTGATATTGTAGTAATTGAGGCTGTGGGAGGAAAGAGAAGGTTGGGCTTTTTCCTTTTTACATGATTTCTTAATTGAACACTTCTTTTATTTGAATGGCAGGTACGAAGTCATGCTGAAGTGCTGGCATCCAAAACCTGAGATGCGTCCAGCATTTTCTGAACTTGTGTCAAATATATCAACAATCTTCTCCACTTTTGTTGGGGAACACTACGTCCATGTCAATGCTACTTATGTCAACGTGAAGTGCGTTGCTCCCTATCCTTCTCTTTTATCATCACAAGACAACACAGATATGGATGTTGACACATGACGGGAATGTCTGACATAGAGGAAAATCCATTCTTAGTTGTATGAACAAAAAGCAAAACATTTTGTCCACTAGTTTTTACTGCCCGGTCTTTGTGAGAACACTGTTGCACATGTTTATGTTGTTGCCCAAGTTGCACTAGTACAAGGACACAATATCATATTGTTTAAGGCTATGGGATTCTGTAAACCATCACAGTAATTCCCAAGTATTTGGACAACTGCATCAATTTACCAAATGGAAATGTGGTGTGCTACCACACAGAGCTAGTCCCCACAAACTGTCATTAATGTGCTCAGACCCAAGAAAAAAAATTCGTCATTAATGCCATGAAGGAGAAAGTAGAATATCAATCATTATGGCTGGAAGGACTATTACTGTGCATGTACTTTAGAATAATGAGAAGTGCAGAAATGGTTTTCACACAAAAGGCTAAGGCAAACAATGAGAGTTACAAGAGTTTAAAATGTATTTTCCTCCTACATGGTGCAAACTTTGGATTTTTGCACTACATCAACAAGGTTTTTAAGAACCTAGGCAGCCGAGAGAGCCAGCCTCGTGGTAAGTGTCTTAACAGAAATCAAAATCAAGAAATGGTGTGCAGTAAAATAAGTATAGAAAAGTACAACTGTGTAGGGAGTGGGTGAGGAAGGCCAAGGCAAAACTGGAACTAAACCTGGCAAGGGAGGCAAAGAATAACAGGAAGGGCTTCTACAGGTATGTTAATCAGAAACAGAAGGTCAAAGAAGGTGCAACCCTCCTGATAAACAACACTGGAGAGCAGGTGACAATGGGTGAGGAGAAGGCTGAGGTACTTAACTTTTCTGCCTCAGTCTTCAATGGCAACCTCTCTTTCCACACCTCTTGAGCAGATGGAAGACAGAATGAGGACAGGGAGGGCAAAGCCACCCCACTGTAACTGAAGATCAGGTTCATGACCACCTGGGGAACCTAAATGTGCACAAGTCTATGGGGATGCATCCCAAAGTACTGAAGGAATTGGCTGATGCAGTTGCCAAGCCACTCTCCACGATAATCAGAAAATCATGGCAGTCAGGTGAAGTCCCAGGTGCCTGCGAAAAGAGAAACACTCTACCTATCTTTGAAAAGGAAAGAAAGGACAACCCTGGGAACCACCAACCTATCAGCTTCCCCTCTGTGCCTGGGAAGATCATGGAACAGATCCTCCTAGAAGCTATGTTAAGGCACATGAAGGACAGGGAGGTGATTTGAGACAGCCAGCATGGCTTCATCAAGGGAAAATCCTGCCTGACAAACTGAGTGGCCTTCTAAGATGGAACAACTGCATCAGCGGACAAGGACTACAGATGTCATTTATCTGGAATTCTGCAAAGCCTTTGACACAGTCCCCCACAACTTCCTTCTCTCTCAAGGGGAGAGAGGCGGATTCGATGCGTGGTCTGTTAGATGGAGACGAAGTTGGGTGAACAGTCACATCCAGAGGCAACGATCAGTGGCTCAGAGTCCTGAGGGACATCAGTGCTGAGTGCTGTCCCTCAGGGGTGTGTGCTGGGACCAGTGCTATTTCTTATCTTCACTAATGATACAGACGAAGGGATCGAGTGCACCCTCAGCAAATTTGCAGCTGACACCAAGCTGAGGGGGGTGGTTGACACACCTGATGCCATCCAGAGGGACCTGGTCAAGCTCCAGTAGTGGGCCCACGGCAACCTCAGGAGGTTTAACAAGAGCAAGTGCAAGATGCTGCACGTGGCTCAGGGCAGCCCCCTGTATCAATACAGGCTGGGGGATGAACAGAGGGAGAGCAGCCCTGCCCAGAAGCACTCGGGGTGGAGCAGAGGCTGGACGTGACCCGGCAAGGTGTGCTCGCAGCCCAGAAAGCCAATTGGACCCTGGGCTGCATCAAAGGCCGTGTGGCCAGCAGGTCAAGGGAGGGCATTCTGCCTCTCTACTCTGCCCTTGTGAAATCCCACTTGGAATGCTGCATCCAGCTCTGGGGTCCTCAGCACAGCAAAGACATTGACCAAATGTAGAGAAGAACCACCTCTTCTGTGAAGAAGGCTGAGAGAATTTGGATTGTCCGGAAAAGAGAAGAGTGACCTAATTGTAGTGTTCCACTTCCTAAAGGGAACTTACAGGAAAGATGGAGCAAGACTATTTACCAGGGCATGTACCGACAGGACAAGGGGGAATGGGTTTAAATTGAAAGAGACTAGGTTTAGATTTGATATTAGGAAAAAATCCTTTACTGTGAGGGTGGTGAGGCACTGGAACAGGTTGTCCAGGGAATTTGTGAATGCCCCATCATGTTCCATGCCAGGTTGAAGGCATGAGGCGCTGAGGAATTTGGTCTAGTTGAAGGTGCCCACAGCAGGGGGTTTGGAACTAGGTGATCTTCAACGGCCCATTCCAACACAAACCATTCTATTATTTTTTTATCAGTCTCACCAGCCCTCTGGTGTAGTCAGACGGTACATAAAACAAAGGGACCATCATGTAGCTTAAAGCATTCCTAGTGTCATTGTATCCCAACGTTCAACTATTTCATTGAGTCAAACAGCCTGTATCAGCAGATCTCTTTCTGAAAAATGCAATGCCTCCATTTCTTTCAATAAAGAATGAATCACTCTGAGACTAAAAACTTGAAGGCTGCTGTCTGGTGAGTCATTTGGCAAGCAGATGAAGCTCTGCCACCTAACCTTGGGTGGAGCCACAGGTAAGTAAAGAGTGGAGGTGTTGCCACAACCGTGACCTAAAAAGACACTGCCATAGTAGGTGTATTGATAACTTCTTCATGCCATCCCTGAAGAGCGGAGATGACTGATCAAAAGAAATTACTTTAGGCCCCATTTACCCTCTTCTTGAATCACACAACCCAGTGAATTATGATACCTACTTTTAATTCTAAATTTTGACCAGAGAAACAGTTTTTAAAAGAGAGAGTAAATAAAACCTTCATTCATTAGGGAAGAATATTATAGCTTTAGGGCAAGCATCACATGTCATTTCTGTTCCTGTGGAATTCTGTGCATACTACTGTATAGCTTGTTTAGAATAGGATAGAACTGGGTTTGTTGGTGTAAACACATAAAGTATTCTATTTTTATATTAAAAAAAAAGTTTATTTTTAATGACATTTACAAAGTTTGGTTAGGCCACAAAATACTGCACTGTGAACATTTCAGAAAATGTAAGTCAATGTACATGATTCATAAATTGTAGCAACCTTAAAAAAATACTATGTAAATATTAAAAAGGAAAAGAACTGACTGTAAACACACTCCACCCTAAGTACAATATCTCCGTTGCTGCAAGCCAACCATTTTAAGACTTTCAAAGAGAGGTAGTTCAGATAAAAAACCGATATAAGGGAGATATATTGTTCTTGGGAGACAGTGTTATAACTGAAAGATTTATAATGAGGGCAGAGTGTGTAGGCAACCTATGAGCAGATAATATTGTATTGTGTTTCATCACCACTTTCATTCCAGAAATGAACTTTCATGTCTGCTGAGAGAGATACTAATTGTAGATTGCTCAAGGACAAAAGGCTTTGCTGCAGGCAAAAAAAATCATCTCTATGGTTGTTGAAACAGCTAAGGAAGTTTATGACACATAGATTTGGAGAAGTTACTCCAGACTTGTATGTACATGCTTGAGGAACGCTGCAATGTGAAACAGAGGACATTTTTACTATTTATGAATTTTTGATTAATAAAGTTAATGTTGTGTCTGGGACACCTGTAAGAATACGTGATTCTGGTAAAGATTTGATGTTAGTAAGTTCATATATCTGCAAAGAGCTGAATGGTACTTATGTTTATAGTTGTTGTTACAACCTAATAAACGTTATTAAAATGAATTATTGTAATACTTTATGCTCTGAGTGCTGTAATTACTGTTCATGTTGACTGTTAAGCTTACATGTCTGTATGCTTTTTCGGACTAACATGAGAAGAGTAACCTGTGGAACTGTGGGGGAGAGGAGAAACATAAAAATACAGATGCACCAATAAATCAAACACACAGTTCATGAGCCTCCTACCCATTGATAGGTCAGAGAAAGATGCAGAATATTTGTCATCAACAGCTATGGCATAGTCTGAATAGGAAGCCTCTTGCCTAACCACAGGCTGCACCCATGCAGAGGCTTAAAATTCTTGATGCACTTAAGAGTTGGGGTGACATTTGAAGCTCAGAATTTAGGTATCATAAGGAGTATGTGTGTGGCCCAGCAAAGATGCCAGCACTTGTGTTTAGCATCCCAGTCCCTAATCAGTCATGATCCACAAGAAGTTTCAGGGACCTGAACTTATGTCCCTCATGGTCATCCATCTCGTGTTTCATCTCTGCAAGGTGCTTTGTATCTGTGACACCTGGAAAGAGAAGGCATTGCAGTCCCCAGAGACCTTGGTTCTTTTAGAGTAAGAGGAGCTAGCCCCACCTTTCTCCCATGCATTTCCTCCCACTTAGGTGTCTCCTGCTGAATTCACAAGTTAACTTCTGTGAAGAGTATTTAAAGTGGGTACCCCACAAACACTGCAACACACGCTGTCCTGTGCCACTTTTAACTTAGATGATACTACAAGCTTGTTTCTCCAGTGTCTTATCTCAGTGGAACTTTCGTACTTAACTGACTCAGAAATATTTCATTGCACAGTGTCTCAGCTGATTAAAAATTGCATTTATATGCTGCTGTCATTTCAAAATATCATGCAAACCCAACATCAAAACACATTTTCTCCATGCATGTTTACTTCTTAGCAAAAAAAAAAATGTATATGCTCAGTTTCAACTCAAAGTATATTTTTTGGGGAAAAAGTTTGGACTGGATGATTTCCAGAGGTCCCTTCCAAGTCTAACTATTCTGTGATTCTGTGAAAAAAGGCACTGAAAATAGCAGTTAAGGATGAAAACATTCTGCTGTGTCACAAGCCTAATCCATTTTTTATTGTAATTATTTACATCTAATTTACTTTCCAATACATTTTCAGGATTTCCCTGACAAGTCAGTAAAAAAATCTCCAAGGTTTTACCACAGTCCGCTAATCATACCAGGGTCTTCAGTCTAAACCAGCATAACACTCAGTCAAATGATGGCCTGAACTTAAATACCAGATTTGTAACACATTCCTCTGATTACTTCTCATGATTTCTCAGGGACAGTATATATTGCATTTTTTAAAGGGTCAACAGAATCACAAGCTTCCCATGCTCAATTTTTCATCCTAGTAATTTTGTTTATATCAGGTACACACTGCAGCAGATCTGCAGCTGACTTAAACTGGTATCCTTCCCCTCACAGGAGTATTAACAGTGGATGTGGCCAGTGCTCAAAACATTGCATAACAGATACTCTACACGAAAGCCAAGAGATTAAAAAATAGGGAGGGATATCCTCATCCCACAGAAATTTTCCTACTGAATTCACACCTACTTTTTTAATGCGCTATTACCCACTGAGAATAATTTTTAAAGAAGATTTTTAATATATCCAACAACATTAAAAGTTTCCAAAATCAAGGAAAATGGTACACTGTGCCTCTGGATTGCTAAGTCTTTGCACATTGCTAATTTTCTGTCTCTGGTGTTAAATTCAGTCATGAAGAAGAGACCTACACGCTTTATGTAAATAAGTGATGAGGCTGCAATGTGGGTTACAGTGGCAGAAGCAGTACAGGTGAGCAACTGCCAAAGGACTTAAAAATAATTTTAATCCTAAACATGAAACTCTTCCTTCAGAAATTTCATTTCTGGGATTCAGTTATAACGTTATATCACAGAAAAAGGTCACAATAGATAAATGAAATAGAGATCCTAATGGGTTTTTTATTCACTAAGTCAAACATCTATTCCTGAAAATTCCAATTCCCATTATTTTTAACAAACAGGTCATGAACTGAGTATTCCGAGCATTGAAGAAAGACACAGGAAATCTTAGGATTATGCCAGACCGATTAGGGAAAACATTTACAAGAAATTGTGATCTCATAGACAGCAGGGAGAGTTCAGAACAACTTTATTGACTCAACGGACAGCAACCAGTGGAAATCAGCCTCTCACCCTGAAACTGTGTGCTCTGACACTGAACCTCAATTTGCCTTTTTCAGTCCCCATCCTGCTAACCCTCCAGGTGTAATCACTTCCAATGAGGATGCCAAAAGACTCTTTTGACTTTTAATCTTAAGCACTTGCAGCCATTCCACAACCTCTGCGGGACAGAAGAAAACAGATTTCTGTTTTGTAAGGAATGCTGCTTCCCTGGCTGCTGTTACTAATTTTGGTGCTTTTCTTTCCAGAGTCAGCAGCCTCCTCACAACATACCATGCCCAGGGAGAGACCTTCAGCAGAAGGTAAATCCTTGCCATAGCTAGCCCGGGGAGACCTCTGGTTTCCATGTGCTTTTCTGGTTCTGTAGTAAGTACTTTGCCACAGGCCAGTGCCATCAGGAGGTTCATTAGTATCTGCCGATGTTTTGTCACGTTCACCGTGACAATTTAGCAGGGAAATCATCCTTGCTCGGGCCTCCGAGGCTCTCTGCATTTCTACAAATGCTATGAATTAACACTTGCCAGAGTTCTAATTATCAAGCACACATGGAGACCCTCTCTGGCACAAATGACAGCTGAATATCCTCCTTTAGGATGTGAAAAGTTATTGCCAAAAACTTCAGGGTGCATGACCAAACATGGACACCTCAGCTGCCATGAGGTTGGAGCTCACTGGGGCAGTTGGCATGCTTTGCAAGTGTGACAAAACTGAAAACAAATGCTAAAAATAGAGTTTGAAATTTAATTAAGAAGGAAAAAAGGCCCTCAGATGACAGTGGTATATTCTCTATCATTTGTGTGGCTCAATAAAAAATAAAGGGAATTTAAGAAAAACAGTGGAGCTGCAGCCTGTTGGAGCTCATGGTACAGAATTGATGGCAAACACATATGACAATACACACACCCTCATAAGCAAGTAGGACATAACAAGGAGTGAGTCACATCCAACTCCAATTGCATGTTATTGGTTTACTTAAGCAAAC